GAGGGCAGTTTTCTCTTGCTTAGATGGACTGCCTTCCTCGAGCTGGAGGGGAAAAAAGGTACTAAGAACAAACTGCTCAGAAACACAAACCGAAAAACCTCTGTGAATTCAGGTGACTGTTCAAGGCCCAAAACGAAGTGAGGGAAAAACTTATGGAGTCCGTATAATTAGCCAGGCAGCGGCGTGCACGAGAAACCGGTAGGAGCAGGGCGTGCAGCCCACGGTTGGTACACCCCCCAGGGAGCGAATCTGCTGGTCCAGGAGCAGGGAGGGCGGGGAGAAGCCTGGGCTCGTTGCTGGGAAGGGGCTCTGCGTGCAGTGTGGGTTTTATTCTCAGACATGACTCTTTCTGCAGTGTTTTCTCTGTGCGTAAACAGAGGAGAGCAGTTCAAGACCTTGGTTGAAACCTCTTAAGTTTCTGGACTTCTGGGAACCTGTGGAAGAGTTCTTAGACTTTCTTCTCCCGGATCTCAGGGGACTAAATATCCCAGGTCTCATTTCACATCCCAGTCCCTAGTGAAGGAAGCTCCTAGATCCCATTACAAAATCCCAGTTCACGAAGAAGGAAGATTCCAATGACCGTGGCTGCTCACAGTGCCCCTGGGCTCCGGCCCATTTTTAAAGACCTCAAAGATGAGAAAGGCCTTGGCAGTATCCTCATTCTCTTCCCCCACAATGTCTTGGTCTATGACCCCCTCTCTCCAGTTCTGAAATCCTTTCTGGCTGGAGGAGGCCAGACGCAGGGTATGAAAGGGTCAGGCCAATTCCCAGCCTGTCAGGCTGCTCATGACCCAGTCAGGCCAGTTTCCAACCCAACGCACTGTCCATGACTCAGTTGTCCTGACTCAATCGATAGCCCAAGGCTTAACCGAAACACTCTCACACGCCGCATAGCAGACATCTGGCGCCAGCCACAATGGCCCGTGGGCAAACTGACCCGTACCTGGGGACAGTTCAGCCCTTTATCTAACCCACTGTCCCGACTCCCATCCTGAAACCCTGAGGCACTTGCCCGGAAGAACAGGAGACTAACCCCTCCCCTATTTCCCTACAAACCCCTTGCTTTTTCTTCTAAAAACCCCATTCTTGCCTCCTCCCCACCCCCCATGGCTCCCGTGGGTCCAGACTCAGCCCACCTGTAACTCAGCATCAGATAAAGGCACTTGGATCAGACCATCCGGCTCCTCCTGCCTCTATCTTTCCCGCATTTCTAACAGGGCAGACTCATAAAATACGTGCTTTTGCATCGCTCCTAGGCATATGTGGGAATGGGCCCATGTGTCCACCAATAGCCATATGCAGAAAAGGTCAAAGCTACTATTACCAATAGCCTCAAACTGGAAACTAACCACATACTCATCAATAGAAGGAGGGAAGGAGCGATGGCGCAGTCACACAATGGGGTTCTACTTGGCCCTGAAAACGAGCCCTGCACACCTGCCCGGAGTGTGAGTCTCGAAAACTAATGTTAAGGGGAGGAGCCAGACCCAAAAGAGCACTTGCCCTGTGATCCCATCGGGTCTCAAGTCCAAAACCAGACAAATGGAATCTACAGTGAGGGAAGGTGGTGACCGGAAGGGAGCCCAGGGGGTCCTGGGGGACTGGTTGTGTTGTTTTGATCTGGGTGCTGTTTCTTACCATGAATACTACACCGATACGTGATACAACATGGATGAACCTGGAGTCGTTATGCCACGTAAAGGAAGCTAGACAAGACATGAAAGGCCACCTGTTGTATAATTCTATTTGTATGAAATACCCAGGATAGGAAATTGCAGGGAGACAGAAAGTAGATTATGCAATTTCTAAAATTTCACCAAACTTAATGTTGAATGTATAGTGGATTTTTTTTCACTTTCTTGTTTAATACAGAAGTTCAAAAACACACCACTGGGAAAACACATTTTCTTCCCCCAGCAATAAACCTGGTCAAAATAGCAAACAGGAAACAACAGGAAAACAGATGGAAATGCATCCTTTTGCTGGCAAAGCCGTTGGAAGGCAGTGGCAACGGGAGACTGGAGGAAACAAACATTCCAGCAAACCCACACTGCGGGAGGCTTGCTGTACAGTTGCCGGGTGAAAGTGCCGTGTTCCTAACATGCTTCAGCTTGTGGTGTTTGCAAGATTCTGTTTCAACAGTCAGATTCACTAGGAGCTCCTTTCTGTGAGCCATTGAAAGAAGTCAGCTTCAACCATAAAAGGCTGACTTATTCAAAGCAAGGTATTTTATGGAAACCTGACTAAGTGTAAGCCTTGCAGGGGTGGCTGCTTTAATCAGAAGTTTGGACAGACTCCAGAGAAAAGGTATAAAGATGGCACCTCCTGTGAAATCCATTTTCTGCATCATTAATAGGCAAGCTCTTATAGCAAATAAATTGGAGGAGAAACGCAGGTTTTAGAAAATACCATCGAAGCCCTGGCTGGTGTAGCTCAGGGAATTGAGTGTGGGCCTGTGAACCACAGGGTCGCCAGTTCAATTCCCAGTCAGGGCACAAATTTGGGTTGTGGGCCGGGTCCCCAGCTGGGGGTACATGAGGGGCAACCACACATGGATGTCTCTCTCCTCTCTCCTTCCCTTCTCTCTAGAAAATAAGTAAATAAAATCTTTTAAAAAATACTGTCTAAGTTCTTTGTCTTCCTTTCTGGTGAGGGAGTGGAACCAGAGGTGTGTGGAGAGGGAATGGGGTGGCAGTGGAGAACTGGCGAACGGAAGGTCCTGTAATGAGGTGGCCACCGCTCAGGTCCCGCTGCCTGGTTCCAGGTGGGGGCACAGGCAGGCATCGCCAGAGATCAGGTTTTTAAAGAGAAAGTCCCTGATTTGTAAAGCCCATGGAACAGGACAGTAAAAGGAGCCTTTCTTTCAAAGAGTAATTTTCTCTCTCCTCCGCGTGTCTGTAGGATGGAGTAAACCACCGGGCCCTTTCAAAAGGTTAGACAATGGGCATAATTCTACAAAAGTAAGACCTTTCAAGCACGGAACTTTTGTAAGCCTCTCGTCACACAGGTAGGGACCATGACACTGTTGAATTAAACAGAAGTTAGCCAGCTACCTTTTTGCAAACCACTTGGGAGTGTCAAACTCAAAAATTCCCTTAACATTTTTCTGACCTTTTTTGGAGCTGCTTGTTAGAAACATACCAGTTAGCAAGTATTTTCAAAAGATACACATGCTCACACACTCACACACAAAAAGACCCAAATCACTTTGTTTCTTTAAAAAACACATTTGTTTTTATTTTTTTAATCCTCTCCTGAGGATATGTTTATCGATTTTAGAGAGGAAGGGTGGGAGAGAGAGAAACATCGGTCCATTTCCCTCTAGGAGCCCCGACTGGGGATCAAACCCACACCTTCTGGTGCACGGGACCACGCGGCCCTCTGAAACTGCCAGGGAACAGCGGAGCGCCAGCAGCTTCAAAGGGTTCAGTGTGCGGTGTGGTCTGTAAGAGCGTCTGTGCGAGGTTGTGCCTCAGACTTTGGGGACGATGAGGGCACAGGATGATGACACATGTGGAGCCTGTGCGGGCCTGGGCCTGTCTGCCGGCAGCCCAGCAGCCACCAAATCCTGGGGTGGAGGGGTCCCCGCTTGCCATCTCCCTCCCTGACCCCCCGTGGTCTCCACACCGTAGAGGACCCGCGGTTGTCACTGGTCATTCCAAAGTGCCCGGTTTTCCTTCTTTGCACTAAAGTGGCCCAACTCCAAGTAATGTAAGGAAAGCCCATCGGCAACTGTGGCGCCGTCAGCCTGCAGACCAGATTTGTTTTCTCAGTGGGGAACAGGTGACGCGGCCAGACCTTCCTCCTTCGTGAAACTGGTTTATAAGTCGGCTAAACAAGGGCAAACGTAACGACTTCGGCTTCATCCCAAGCATCACATGAGAGTAAGACTAAGCTTCCAAAGTTTTTCTGTTAAAACCCAAGAAAATAGGAGGCCATTTAAAATCTTTTTTTGAAATAAACTCAGGTGAAATTGTTTTTAAGTTTGAAAAAAGTACCTTAAACAAGCAAGAGACACAATAAAATAAAATAACCTATTTTTAAAAAGTTAAGCCACGGGGGGGGGGCTGGGATGGGAGTACAAGACAGAAAACTGTACTTGAACAATAATTAAATTTAAAAAATGCTTAAAAAAAAAACAGATGACCCGATACGTGGAGAAAATAAATGTTCTATAACTAGATCATTTATCATAAATTTTTAAAATTCTTCTAAAAGTATTTGAATTTTCTAGAGAAAAAAATATGTACATATATATATATATTGCCTGAAATGTTAATTAAACATTTTTACAATTAAAAAAAAGTTAAGCCAAAAATAACAAAAATGGTTTAAAAGATCCAAAATGGTAATCTTTTAAAAAGGTAGAGCAATAAAAATAATTGATGTTAGCTACCTTTGGACAAGAAAGGGTGACGTTTACTTTGCAGTATAGATTTTTCTATACCATTTGGATTATTAAAATATCCGTATGTATTCTTCCTATCTTTAAAAAGATTATTTATTTATTTATTTTTACCGGGGGTGGGGGAGAGAAAAAGAGGAGAGAAACATCAATGTGTGGTTGCCTCTCATGCGCCCCCCCACCGGGAACCTGGCCTGCAACCCAGGCCTGTGCCCCAACTGGGAATTGAACCCACAAACCTTTGCTTTGCAATCTGGCCCTCAATCCACTGCGCCACCCCAGCCAGGGCCTCCTATTTTTAAAGTATTAATGGATTATTTGAGCATGAAGGTTATAGACCATTTTGTTTTCTTTTTTATGCTTTTTCCCTACATCCTTAAAAACAATAAATATCATTTAAGGGTTAAATATAAACATTCTAATAAACTTTTTAAAACTTTAATGTAGGAACTAATTAAATCTAGAAATGTCTTAAACAAAAAAGGTGATTATCAAACTTTCTTTTTCTTTCAAAATATTTATTTCCAGTAAAAACATGTGTATATGAAGACAACTACATGTAAGAAAGTAAAATACTTTGAGGAAAATGCTCGTTTGGTCCAATGACCAAAACTGAAAATAATTCTACGATCAACACTTGATGGAAAAGTGGTATTCCATTCAAGTAGCAGGCCCCAAGTTGTCCCCAACTCAGGGTTGGAGCCCTCCTCTCTGTTCATGCCACAGGCCTGACACGACAGCCACCTTTCTAATTCTGTCCTTCTTACAGCAGTTATTGTTTTGTTTGTTTTTCATAAACAATTTTTTCAGGATGCCACTACCCAACCACCTCAACCTTTGCACAATATTCTTTTCACAAAAGCAGAAATAGCAACAAAATGCGCCTCAGGGTAAGTGAGAGGCCGCGCAGACCGCGCTGTGGAAGTCCACCCAGCCCGCGGAGAACCCGTGTTGCCGCAAAAGCTCCCCCTGGCGTGGGAACCCTCTCCCGGCGCTACGCAGGGGTGTCCCGAGGAAGAGTCGGCCCGGGGAAAAGGGGAAGCTGCGAGCCCCACGCACACCCAGGGCAAAGGCAAAGTGTCCAGGCACAGTTGTCCCCAGGAGGGCGCCTGAGGCAGGCCTGCCTGGGAGACCCCATCTATTTGGAGGAGGAGCATTCGGCGCCCCCTGGAGAGCCACCGCGTCCTCCAGATCTCCCTCCCCGGTGCACCGGCTGGTCTCTGGCCGGTGCCCCGGGGCTGCCCTGCGCCCCCCCGGGAGGCAGCCGGGGGTCTTCCTCGTGCTCTGCGTCCTCCGAGTCCGACGTGTCGTCGTAGAAGTGGATCGTGGCTTGCACCGGGAAACTGGCCAGCACTCTCTCTCCAGAGCTCTGCAGGAATTCTTCGCGCTTGGAAATGGGTAAATAAAGTCTAACAGTTAAGAAACAAATCCAGCATTAATCAACTTGAAACAGTTCTCAGCTCCACCTAGAGGACCTTTTCCCCTCGAAGCAGCTAACTGGCAAACTGCCTCTGATTCTGCCTTCGCTGCTTGCAGCGTTTTGTATCCCGTCACCGGGACGCAACTGCGGGCAGGGGCGGAGGCCTGGGGAGGGGTCCCACACTAGTTCAGCAGTGAGCCATGATCTGAGCGAGCAAATCAATGGAGGAAAAAGGGCGTGCTTCCGTGAAGGCACGGGGAAACCGAAACTCTGAGTTCCGAGGTGAGGGGTAGGAGGCCCCACCCATCCCAGTCCTGTTCCGGTGAAGCCCCAAGCACAGGGAATGCTGTGGCCCTTTGGGCTCTAGAGCAAACTTCACTCTGAAAGCCGGGGTGGAAGAGAAGCAGCTAATCTTTCTAGACGTTGCCCTAGAGAAGCTATAGGGGTGAGTCGCTGGCTTGTCTGGAAGAGAAAATGGCAGCCCTGGCCATTCATCCAGTAGGAACAGAGAGGGAGAAAGTGAAAGGGGAAGGGAAAAGGAGAAAGACCCCACTTTGGGGACCGTTTGATAGTATAAATATATCTGTATATTTTAAACAAGAAGCCCTGGCTGGTGTGGCTCAGTGGACTGAGTGCCGGCCTGCAAACCAAAGGGTCGCTGATTTGATTCCCGGTCAGGGCACATGCCTGGGTTGTATAGGCCAGGTGAGGTCCCCAGTAGGGGGAGCATGCAAGAGGCAACCACAAGTTGATGTTTCTCTCCCTCTCCTTCTCCTTCCCTTCCCTTCTTTAAAAATAAACAAATAAATAAACCTAAAAAAAAATAACCAATGAATGCATAAATAAGTGGAACAACAAATTCATATTCTTTTCTCCCTTTCTCGCTCTAAAATCTACAAATAAAAATTAAAAAACAAAAAAAACAACATGTTGTAATAAAATTTATGGCTTCGGGCCCATTATTGGATAGAGTAAGAGTCGCTTGAACACCAGCAGGGAGACCCTGATAGCTGATCCGACTGCCAGAGGGCTACTGCGTGATTAACGGGCAGGTGGTGTCTGCAGCCTGGAGCCGCCGGACGAAGGGGTGATTCACACGCGCCCCGGGGGGAGGTGGAAAGGGCGAGATTTCATCATGACTCATGGAAGGACGTGCAGTTCGAAAGTTGTAAGTTGTGTGTCTCTGCGTAGACTGAAACCTCAGAAAGGGAAGCCACAGGTTAGGGGAGGCTACTGTATTTACAGGTGAATTTGAATCGGTAGGATGTCTGGAATTTGCTTTAGAATATTCTACCAACAATTTAAAAAAAAGAGTTGGGAGAGGGCAACAAAGGTGATCAGATCAGAAGAACGGTGATGATTATTAAGGCTGGTGGGTGCTGGGCACAGGGGGCTCACTATCCCATTCTCTCCACTTTGGTATACGCTTCAAAGTTTCTGTAATAAAACCGTTTTTTAGTTTGCAATGCATGCCTCACCAGTCACCGTATTTTCACCAAATCTAAAATTGGGGAGCAGGATCAGGGTGTCTGCGGGTGGCAGGCCCTGGCAGGTGGTGCAGGGGAAGGCACAAGAGGGTGGGGGGTCTCACCCCAAAGCACATCCCAGATTGCCTGCAGATCCTATAGAACACAGGCCCCAAGGCCTTTCACCAGAACAAGCGCTTCAGAACCTCCCGGGGAGCCACCCACGGGCCGTATTTTTAAAGCTTCCCTGGTGATCCCACGAGGACTAAAGACCACTGACAGAAAGGACCCTAGGAAAGCTTCCCTTGTCCAAAAGTCACTCTGTGACCAGTCTGAGGGCTCCAGAGATCACTTCAGTGATCAGTATCCGTGGGTTTGATGACGGCGACCAGCCTGCCAGGATAAGCAGGGTAAAGATACTCCAGTGAAAAGTTGGAGCACAGACTAGTTTTATTCTGGTGAAGAAAGTGGCAGATGGAGACAGAGAAACAGATAAAACAAAACAAAACCCCAGCCCAAGTCACCTGCTTCCAAGGCTTGAAGTGAGAGGGAAACAGCAGTGAGGGGCTTGCTCCCACCAGGAGTACAGAAGCCCCCCAAGAAAGAGCGGAGGACATTTGGGGGAGCACCCATCCATCCCTGCTCAGGCAGCACTTCTGCTTCAAAGGTCTGCTTTCCTCACAGGAGTGTCCAACCTGCGGCCCAGCATGGCTACGAATGCGGCCCAACACAAAATCATAAATTTACTTAAGACATTATGAGATTTGTTTGTGTGTGATTACATGTTGCAATGTATTTAATGTGTGGCCCAAGACAACTCTTCTTCCAGTGTGGCCCCGAGATGCCAATAGGTTGGACACCCCTGCTAGATAACACACTAACATATTGGGAGGGAAATAGAAATGTAACTGAACAGCCAAGGTATGCTTAGGCAACTCCTATTCCACTAAATTTAACACAAGACACAATATATAACAAGAGGTGTTAAACAAAAGGCATGAAGGAAAGTCAGGGCAATTCCAACTTGCAACTCAAACAAGGCCTGAATGAATAAATGGACGGGTTCCAGAAATCCCTCGGAAGCATGACCCATGGACACAGATGTGGGGATTGACGGAGGGAGGGGACAAGACAGGATCGAGTGGAGGTAGGGAAAGGGAGAAAGCCAGGAAGAACTATAAAACCGTTCTTTAAAAAGATATTTGCCAGTATCATCTTGAAAAAAAAAAGTCCCACTAAATGTCCCTGAAGTTCCTTGGGATAATAGTAACACTGGGGAATACTGAATTATTTTGCACTTTGTTGAAAATGTATGCAGTAGAAGGCGCTAAGGTGTGTTGATGCTTATAGTGAGAGGAAACCCTGTATTTCTTCCTGAGAAGTTGTGTTACCTTACAGGATGCCGAAACCCAAAGGCTCCTTTTGATCCAGAGGTTTGTTGGTCACTCCCAGGTTCCGGCTGTAAAGACAAACACACACAAACACACACAATCTAGGAGCTTCTGGAGTCGCACCCTGAAATTTATAAAGACAAAGTCTAAGTGGCCTGCGCTGGTTTGCAGCAGCTGCGACCTTGGAGTCCGTTTAGGTTTAAACACCTGGGCGGAGCTCTGTACGCCTGTCTTCCTCTTACTGTTGCCGAGGATGCCCAGGGCACTGAGAGGGATTCAAAAATGGACAGGTGGGTCTGCCCCCTTGTCCACGCGTTTTAAATCCAATAGAGAGGGACACTCAAGCCTCGGACTCTGCCCAAGCCAAGGGGCCAGCAGCCTGGAGCACGGGAGGGTGGGGCCAGGAGAACACAGGCCACCACATCTTCCAGGAAATCGCCTGCTGGGCAGGGCTGGCAAATAGCCAGGAGGGAAATGGAACGGAGGTCAACAAAGGTTTAGGCTGTCGTTCACTGTCCCCAGGAAGGGAGGGAGAGAGGTCCCAAGGGGATTTAGGGGGACCAGTGGGTGAGGGTGGCTCCACTCAGGTCAAGGCCTTGAAGCCTTCCCTTAAAATTTCTCAGGAAATGCCCAATAGGCCTCCGGAGCTAAGGAATTCTCCTCTTTGTCAGGAGAGGGCGCTGTTGAGCAAGCGTTCCCTCCCGGCTCGGGGCTACGCTCACCAGGCTGGGTTTCCCCGAGACCGTGTGCAGTACCCCGCTGGCCGCTGCTTGCCGAGGGCCTCTCACTCGGGGGAAGTGGGGCAGCGACCGCTACAGGCCCACGAGACACCCAATTTCCACTCCCCCCCAAAAAAAATCCAAGGACACACCTGCTTCAACCAGTGTGTCATGTTGACAATCAACTAGAAAGTCGCTACAGTTTAACATTTTTTCTGCAATCTTCACTTTTCTCACGAATGGCCTTCTCATCACAAAAGGGATAAAAAACCCACCCTCTTGCCTTACATGAGGAAGTATGCTATAGTATTTTCATTCTTGCAACTGATAGGCTCTACAAACATTTAAAAGAAAGTAGGACAATTGTATATATACTCTCTCTTCCAAGGGCCTTGTAAGTCTTATGTTTAAGCTGGGTGAAGGTGGGCAAAGAGAAAAAGAGGGGACAACTGAAATACCATAAACAATAAGATAAAAATTAAAACACATCTTATGACCCTGGCTGGTGTGGCTCTATGGATTGAGCACCAGACTGCAAACCAAAGGGTCATGGGTTCGATTCACAGTTAGGGCATGTGCCGGGGTTTCTGGACAGGTCCCCAGCAGAGGGTGTGCAAGAAGCAACCACACACTGAGGGTTTTTCTCCCTCCCTTCCCCTCTCTAAAAATAAATAAATAAAATCTTTTTTTAAGTCTTAAGTTTAAGAACTTATATTTGAATGCAAAAGAAGCAATTATTTTCATTGTTTAGACATTGCATGAATTTAATAATTTGGGCTACAAAATCATATTTCTTATTAATTTGATATTTACTTGATTCATTCTTTAAATAATAGTAACTGAATTAAAACTTTAAATCAGTGTGAATAATGTTATGTAATTTTTAAATGTAATTTAAATGCAAAATGTAATTTTTTTAATTATTCACATGACTTTAAAAAAGTATCTAAATCTGTTTTCCTGCACCTGAATTTATCGTATTACAAATAAATGCCACAAGCCACAAGCCACATGTGTTATGTAAATTAAATACATGGTCCTTACTGGTCCAATTAACTTTAGCATTTTAAAAGAAGAGCCATCCATTTATATTTTAAAATTTACCAAGGAAAGGTAAATTCCATGAAAGCAAGTCGTCACTTCAACAAGTATAAAGCAATTTAGTTACCACCACAGGACACAAAATAGTGGTGGCCATTAATCTTTGCCCACGAAGCCCTCCACTGGAGTGTATTTGCTCAGCCAGTGTGAGTTACCCCAGCGGTGCTTGCAGACAGGGTCGAAAGTGCTTCAGGAAGAGCCAGACAGCGGGAGCGGCCTTTTCCCCACGTCTTCTGGGCACCCAGACTGGCCTCTGCCCTCATTTACACTGTGGCACCTGCCCAGTGCTGATGACACGCACGTCATTCTCCTGAGGCCAGGGGACCCAGGCAGCCTTCTCCTTCTAATTCTACCTGCTGGTTTGCAAGAAGTGAGGGGGAAAAAAGCCCCCAACATAGAAGAAATCGCTTCTAATGCCCGTGAAACAGCTATGCTGGAGTGGCTTTGCTTTTCAAGAAAGGAGACGCAAGCAGGAGCCCAGTCTCCTGTGCCTCAGTTCTGGCGGACACCACTCTCCGGGCTCTCAGTGCAGACCACTTCTGCCTTAGATGACCAAGGCAGGGCCGGGCGCGGGGCTTTTCACGGTCCCTTCATTTCAGAGACGGTGCTATTTTCTGACTGAACCGGTGGATACCTACGACGCCCACACTTCACCTTACCTGGCTTCCAGTTCTGGTCCGCTCAGCATCTCGGGGTGTCAGGAGCCAAGGTCTCCAGGGTGTAGGCCTGGAATGGCAGGGACCAGGAGTGAACCCCAGCATCCTCTGATGTCTTTCAAAATTATGCCATAAGAGTTATCATTCTTATCGTTTCTACTGTGTGCCTGAAAAAGGAGACACTGGGGCCCTGGCTGGTGTGGCTCAACGGATTGAGTGCCCGCCTTCGAACCGAAGGGTGGCAGGTTTGATTCTCAGTCAGGGCACGTGCCTGGGTTGCAGGGCAGGTCCCAGTAGGGGGCGCGCCAGAGGAAACCACACATTGATGTTTCTCTCTCTCTCTCTTCCTTCCTCCCTCCCTTCTCCTCTCTGAAAATAAATAAAATATTAAAAAAAAAACCTAAGAGTCACTGCACATCCCAGTGTCCCCTCAAGTCCCCAGTCTGTGGATACACAGTGCCATGTGAGTTTTTCCAGCCTGCCACATTCCCAGTTCTCTGCCTTCATGGGTCTTTGAGAAGTCCCAAGTCTGATACAATTATCAGGGGACACATTAGTTGAGGAATTTCTCTCCCTGCCTGGCTGGACTCTTCAATTCAGATTCCCTCCCATGACTGGCTACTTTGTCGCTCATTAATTCCAACAACACCGCCTCAGTTATGAAGGATCTTGACCCCCGGAGATGATTCTACAGAGTCCTATTGGGTACAACGCACAAAGGGAGACTCGATTTCTCCTCTCCGGCTGCCTGGCCAACCGGCCCCTTCCACACTTCCCGGCCTATATGATTTCCTAACCTTGACTACTTTGAAAAGGAGCAGCGGTCGCTGAGGCTCAAACGGCGCAAAGACTGTCCCTAAAACTGACGGTCGGCGTGAAGGGATCCCCCTGCAAGGCTCGTTGAGAGGCCCGGAGACCAGCAATGTTCCCCGCCGGGTGAATTTCAGATTAACGGAAGAAGCGTTGGCCCATTTCCTTGCGGAAACCTCCGGGACCTCCGCCGCTGTGGAACCAAGACAACTCTGCGTCCCTGTCGCTGGCCAAGGAACTTGCCCTGCGTCGCGGGGCGATTCGGGGACTCAGCGCCCTGGCATCCCGCTCCCAGCACCAGGCGCCACGCGCCTCTCGACGCGCCCACCCGGGCCGCAGGGTCACCCTCACCTCTCGGGCTCGCGCGGCGGCGGTGACCTCTGGGCACCTTCCGCGGGGCAATGACAGACGCGACCCCGCGCCTCCCGGGCTCCAGCCGCTGTCTCTGGTCTCATGGTGCACGCGGTGCCTGCGCCCCTCCTGCTGCGCCGGGGACTCAGTGGCGACTGTAAGCGCTCGGGCGAGGGCGCTCACCTACCCGCGCGCTCCGCGCCAGGTTTAAAAACGGGGGCGGGGAGGGGAGGGGACATGGAAAACCGGAGGGGGCGGGAAGGGCACGGCAGATGCTCCGGGAGGGGACAGGGGAGGTCGTAGAGGAGGAGGGGAAAAGAAGGTCCGCTCCAGGAGGGTGAGCGGCGGCGAGACTGGGGTGGAGTGGTGGCTCCCAAGGAGGGGACTGGGGAAGCCGGGAGCAACGGTGGGGAGGGGACAAAGGAAACCCCGGGAGGGTCGCCAGGGGCAGTGACGAGGAAGTTGGTGGAAGGGATGGTGGGAAGTGACTCGCGAAGCCCGGGAAGGAGGACACCTGGGGGTCGGGGCCGTGGGCGTTTCCGTGGAGGGCCCTGCTTCGTGGGTTGTGGGCAGAGGGGCCTGCCCTGCGGAGTGTGAGATTGGAGGGTCCGCGGATCCTTCCCACCCCTTTGGGGTTTTCCGCAGTCCTCGGGATTCTGGTTCCTGCGTGGGCATCTTGGTCCCCAGATTTAGGGGAACCCACGTCCACTACTTTAGAGCCGTCTCGGGGTTTCGAGAGTGGCTGCAGAAGCCTTGAGACCTCGCGGACCCGCCCTGCCTTCAGTGTGAACAGCGGGAGCCCGGGACGTTCCCGATGGCGATGCCCGACCGGGTGGAGGGTCGTGGAGAGGAAAGAGAGATGAGCAGAGCACCCTCCCCACCCGTGGGCGTCTTGGGAAAGAATGTGGCTTTTCAAGGGGCTGGGATTGTCCTCGGGTTGGAGCCCCGCCCAGCTTAGAGGGTGGCCAGGGACACTTCCCAGTCCCTGCAGGACTCGCTTAGCGGGTCGGAGCGCGGCGTCAGGGTGGGCGCAGCGCCGGAGGGTCAGTAGCGCGGCGCCGAGGACGCGGAAGGCTGCGGGCCGGCCTCCCGGCTGCGCTCCGAGCGGCTCCGCGCCCCACCGACTCCGCGGTCTCTAAATCAAAGAACTTCAAAAATTAAAATGTTTCCACTGTTTCCTTGAAGGGCAGCAGATTTCGACAATAATTAAAACTAATTTAAAGGCAAAGGGGGGGTTAACAACCTAGTTTTTACGCAAAGTTTTACACAATGATTCAAAAACACATTAAATATAACTGAGGGGTGGGGACAGGCAAGGGACACTGAGAGACATCACTGGGACAGTGAGATACCGCATTTACTGAGGGAGAGATTTTATACAGCGAGTGTGGGCAACCAGGTCTGCGTGCCTACAACTGAGTGTCTTCCAGGTCGCTGGTGACGTCATCAGCACGCCTTGCTGAGAAGGTGTGACAACTTCTATCATGTGCCTTGAAAATGGTCACCTCCTGACCCAGCAATTCTACTTCCCTGTTATACTAAAAAATGAACCCCAAAAGGTGTACTTTCAAATAGGAACGATATGCAGGCGATCACGGAAAGGCGTTCATTGCAGTGTTATTTATAATGCTGAAAAATCCCTCTAACAGCATAGCAGTGATTAAATATGCAATGGCGGAATATTACGCGGCTAATAAAAATGTTTACTGAGTTTTGAGCAGCCTGGGAGAAGGTGCATGAGAGGGCTTTAAAAGGACAAAATTGTACGATAGGGTCCAAACCGTCTGCAGAGGGGACCTGGTCAAGACAGTGGCCACTGAGTACTGGAATTACAAAGGATTTAAAGCAAAAAATGTTTTCTAAATGTTCAACGATAAGCATATTTCTTTTTTATTGTGGTAAAATACCTGCATTATTTTGCCACAACATCACCGTCCAGAAGTTTTGACACCCGCCCCCATCAAGCTCTCACTCCCCACCCCCTCCCCCTCCCCCCCCCCCCGCAGCCCGCACCCTGCTCTCCGTCTCTCTCCCAGGCTGTTCTAGACGCTTCATATCCCTACACTCATCTGTCCCTTTGTGGAGCACATCTGAATATCATAAATCATCCACGTTATCCTGACTTTGGCCCTGCAAATAGGCATTATCTTCTTTATTTTATTTTATTTACTTTTAGAGAGAGAGAGAGAGGGAGGGAGAAAGGGAGAGAAACATCAATGTGTGGTTGCCTCTCATGTGGCCCCCACTGGGGGACTTGGCCTGCAACCCGGTCATGTGCCCTGGCTGGGAACCTGGGACCCTTTGGTTCTCAGCCTGTGCTCAATCCACTGAGCCACACCGGCCAGGGCTCCAATAGGCATTATCTTCATTTTACCAACTAAGAAAGCAGGGTTCGGACACGGTAAATAAAGCCCCCATCTGGTCAGAGAGCTAGCACTGATATCCCTTTGGTTTCCACGGGCTTTGCAGACTGGAAAGAAACTGGATGTCACTCAAAATAACTTTAAAGGGGGAGAGAACCCTACACGGCAACCGCACACTCCGTTCTGCCTTTTTTTGACTTTGCTTTGTTTTCTTCTGCCAAGAACACGTTAAGGCCATAATGGCCGAAGCTGGGACACTTTGAACAACAAAATAAACTAGTATGGAATTATAACTCAAAGTGTAAAATAAATATCAATGATCTCATACTAATATCAATAAATATCAAAGACGTGAATAAATGAGAAAAGAGGCAAGTTTTCTTAAGAGTTCCAAATAGTTTACATAGCTGCTCTACCCTCAAGGAGTTATAGTTTAACTCCATCGTTATGATCATCAACTATGCATGGTTTTGAACATGAATCTAATGAAAAATAAATTCATTGGTAATATAGAATAAAGGGATTGTGGGTTTTTTTTTCAGAGTTGTTGCTGCAGTTAGGATAATTAAAATACAGTCAAAGAAATGCACTACTAATGAGATAATTGGGAATTCAGTGGACTTTTGTGTTATAATTACTTCTCAAACTTAAACTCTTGGGGGTTCAAGGGAGATCTTTATGAGAGGCAGTAATTTGGAAAAGGGTGTAGAAATCTTAGGGAACTTTTAACTCGGCCCATGGTTTACAAACTGGGAAAGACGCATAACTTCAAGTGTGTGCATTCCTGCCTGGGAGGTGATGTGGCAAACAGATAAAATTGAGGTTCTATTTCTTGCTGTGCTCTCTTTAATTAAAATTCTTTTTTCTCATGCTGACTTTCCATCGTTGCTTAGAAACAAAGAGTAAAGACGTTAACTCTCAGGGTTTCCGGCTTCCCCAGGAGGAGGATACCAGAGTCAAAACATCTCAGAGGGCAGAATATTTTTACATAAACAGTGTGGAAGACAAGCGGGGAAGACCATTTCCTTTTCTTCTGCTTCAGCGGACCCTGCTTCCTGTTGTCCGCTCCTCCAAGTCCTCTGCAGCTCTGGATGCTGATTTAGAAGCTGTCAGATGTTTTCACTGCTGTTGATATTGTTACGTGTTAAAATATTTTTTAGGGACAAAAAAGAAGTTGTGCTTGATCCATAGGAATAAGATATATTTGGTATTTGGGTTTTTTAGGAGTTTGTTTTTATTTTTTAAAAATTGTGGTAAGACACAAACATAAAATTTCCCTTTTAACCAATTTAAGGTATTTTGAAGTATACAGGCCAGTGGCAGTAAGTGCGTTCATGTTGTACTATATCGGTCTCCGGAACTTTTTTATCTTCTAAACTGCAACTGTACTGATCAAACATTAACAGCCATCTCTCCCTCTCTCTGCCCCTGGTCGCCTTTTGTTCTACTCCCTGTTGTATAAGTTTGATTATTCTGGGGACCTCATTGTGGGTGGAATTGTACAGTATTCATCTTTTTGTGACGGGTTAATTTTATTCACCATAATGGCCTCAAGGTTCATTCATGATGTGGCATGTGTTGGAATCTCCTTCCTTTCCAAAACCGAGTAACATTCCGCTCTACCATTTAGTCTACCCATCCACCTGATGAAGGACGCTAGGATTGCTCCCACCTTTTGGCTACTGTGAATAGTGCTGTTACGGTAGCATTTGTAGGAGTCTCTGCTCTCAGTTCTTTGGGGTATATACTCAGAAGTCAAATTGCTGGATTAAATGTATTTGGTTTTGGACAATTATTTTAAGGGTTGAGTTCGCTTTTGAAAGAAAAAACTTTCCACATGACATTGTATTCAAGGAGTGAAAGAGGAGGAAATGGTTTCTAACCAAGCTTCTCCCTGCGACCCCAGAGCTCTGTAGCTTCAGCACGTGGTAGCTGAGGTCTGGACCCCGGAACCATGCCGTGCCCTTTCTCTGCTGAGCCAAGGCCACGGCAATGGCTGTGAGGCCCTCCCTGATCGTCCCTTCCCCTCCCCCACTGATCTCACCCTCTGCGTGCTCCTCCGTCCACCCTCTCCTAGGGTCCCTGGACCCTTTGTGGACCAGAAACAGCCAGACGTACTTGCCTTTCAGGGCCTCTGCCTAAAACCCGGTCCTTCCAGACATCTTCATGGGTCTCCCTCCCTGCCTTCAAGCCTTTACTCCAGTGTCCCCGAGGATGACGCCTTCCCTGGACACCTGTTTGAAGTCTCTCTGACACACACGCACCGCCTCCTTCCTTTCCAATTTGTCTCCACAGCACCTGTCACATAAAACATACTCTGTTTGTACCCACTCACGATACCCATTGTCTGGCCCTCCTAGCAGACTAGGGCGTCTGCTGCATGGGGCAGGGCTTCTGTCTGCTTTGTTCGCTGCTGTGTCTGGGCGCCCAGAGGACCAGCCAACACGAGGGGGGCCTGGTAGGTGTCGGTGGGGGGGTGCGTAGCTGCGCTCACGAAAGCCTCAGGAGAGAAAGTGCTTTGCCGTTGTCCAGTTTCATTAGGGACTCTGGCTTGACACCCCACATGAGAGAATGTGGGAAGCAGGGTGTCCCACCTGCATACGGCCCAAGCGGGGTCTGGCTGCGGCTGTCCCCACAGCCAGCAGGACGGTGTCCCCCCCGTTTGGTTGAATAGTAGCCCCCCAAAAGGTATGTCCCAGCCCTAAGCCTCAGAACCTATGGATGTGACCTTACTCAGAAAATGGGGCTTTGCTGAT